AAGTACAGATAGCACAATTAAAATTTCTAGCGAATGCTCGTAGTAATGTATACCAAACAAATGAATGAAGTCGAATGCTTTCAAAGTATTCAATTCAATTTATAATATCGATATTTTTGAAGACGACTACTTGAATAATCGATTAAATGCATTTTTCCTAGTACCTGACTTTTCGACTAATCTCGATTAACTGCGAATATTCGAACATTCGATGTTAGAATATTCGAATTGAAATATTTTATCGAACACGAATAATCGGTGTCTTCGATAGTAGATAGCATCGAAATGGGGATTCTTCATTGATTGCAAATAACGGTGTCGATGAGAAAGCCAAAATGTCAGGTTTTAATTAAGCCATTGCTTGGTTTTAAAAAAAGTATGTAGATTAAAAAAAATGTTGGACAACTGTGACAGAAGAAGTATGTCATGTTTAGATTCAAGATTATTTCAAAAAGTAACAGACTTGAAGTCTACGGTTCACCCCGTGATGGTCTACCCCTGTGTTAGTCTACCGCCTCATCATGGCGCGGAGGTGACTCTGGGTGACGAACTGCGATGTACAGCGGTGGTTTATCCTCCAGCACCATCTCCAAAGCTGAGAAGCAGTTCGACGTTTCCGCTTCCCGGATGCCTAGCTAGGAGTAGGCAATGCCAGAAGCCGCAACTGGCTGATTCAGTCGCTAGATGATTTCCTGATCCACATAAGTCAGCGATCCTGTGTTGAAAGCTTGGCAGGGGCAAAGATGTTAGGTTTGGGGATTTATTCAAGTACTTGTCCAGCACGTAATAGGAAAAGAAACCCTGCATAATGGATCACATCTACGGCGTCGAATGTCATCAAAACCACTGTCGGGTTGCAGAGGACGCCATGGATTTCGGACGAAAAGGACACGTCAACGACTCGCCATGGAGGTTGTCTCATGCTCTGCACCTACAACGACAAGACAGTTTCCACCAACGCCGACCTTCACGTTCTTCTCGAAGCTGCAGGGCGCGTCAACTACCACGTAATCGCCTTGCTGGAAACAAAGTCCAGAAAGACGGACATGAGTCAGCTGAGTGATGGCACACTCATCATTCGTGGTGAAAAGGTTCCGTCATTGTCGTACACCCATCTATTGTCCATCTTGTCGATTCGCATGAGATCCTATCACCTCGTCTGGCTATCCTTCGACTCTGTCCTCTGCGTCAGAAAGCCATCATTATCATCAACTGCTATTCTCCAACATCAGCAGCTGATGATTCGGAACTTGATGCTTTTTAGGAGGATTTGGAGGAAGTCATCCGCAAAAAAAACTCCTTCTATAAGTTTGTCGTGGGTGACTTTAATGCGAAAATCGGGATGCCAGAAGAAGGGGAGCATAGTCGAAGATTTGGGCCGAGACTCCGGAATGAGAATGATAACCGTTTCGTAGGGCTCTTAACCGCCGACATTTCATGGCAACTCCATCTTTATTAAGAAAGAACACAAAAGAGCGCAACATGGGAGTCACCCAGCCGCACGACTCATGCGGAGTTCGACCACATTCTCCAAAGGCAGTGCTTACTGGATGTCCTGGTTTCATCCTTCAAATTCAAGTTCAGACCCGCGCCTTCTCCGAGCAATGCGATTCAGCTGAAAGCTGGAAAAGAAGATTTGTCACCGTGTTGAAGGAAGAAGAGAAGTCGTATATGAAGCCGCCATATTGGAATAGCTCTTGACCACTTGCGACTGGCCCATCTAGGAGAACCCAACGAATGACTACAACCTGCTTCTCAGAGGAGTGAGGGCCTTTGGTGAAAGTACTTCAATGCCTCGAACAAGGAACTTGGAACGAATTTCGAAAGCCATCTAGGATCTGCTAGAGAGGAGAGGAGGACTGGGATCCGACTGCATCACATCTCGAGCGACTGGTTAGCAGAACAGCTTTGCAAGAAGATCTTCCAAAGTACAGGCAACCGAAACCTTTGTAAGCAGCACAAGGAAGGAAAGTCCAAAGAAATGCGGAGATCTTCTCGACTACCGTGTCACGCTGAAAGTATTACTAAACAAAGAAGGGATTCGCACATCTTTCTGACAGAAAGTGGAATCGATCACGAGGCGGTTCTACCGCTTTTCCGCTCATCAACACCCGTGTAAAACCTCGTCATTTCCACTGGAATAATACCACCGAAGATTCTACTTGTTGAAGTACGCGCCGCAATTCAGACCATGGGGGCAGCCAAGGCTCCGGAATCGGACCACGTTTCGGCCGATCTCTTATGAGATGGAGGGCATCGCCTACACGAGATAGTTGCGAAACTTCTGACGTCTTACCTTCAAAAGGAAAGGATTCCCGATCAGCGAGGAGCCTCCCGAACATTCTCCTTCATAACAAAGGCGATAAGAAGGATCTTCGGAACTACCGTCCAATATGCCTGCTGAGCGTACTTTACAAGTTCTTTACGAAGATTATTCTCGCTCGCATATCAAGGGCCTGGATGAAGCCCAACCTATAGAACAAGCTGGATTTCGCAAGGGATTCAGCTGCGTGGATCACATCCAGACACTTTCGAGGATCATCGA